AATCAAACGACACAAATAACACAGATAGAATGATACATCCAATAATACATACATGGGACTTGAGACAGTAATTGTTTTTCTTCAAAGTCGGATATGAGTACTGACAAGAAATGTAGCGAAAGAATCAGTTTGCAAGATTCAGGATACTACAAACCGAAGTAGGTGAACATGTTATTTTTATGTGTATGTCATTTATACTGCTTGGTAATGCTGACGTTTCCAACTGAAGTATTAAATGCCGATATGCTGATGATACTTTTGGTGACGCACTCGGTTGCTGCTGGCGTGATTTTGTGTCTTTTGTGAACGATTTTGAATACTTTTTTGACGAGTGCCTAATCATTTGCCCAAAGTAAACTTTACATATATTGAAAGAACTATCCTAGTATAGTAAGAATCTAAAATCTTGTGGAATTCCGAGACGTGGCACATGGTCAAAATGACAATTCTGTTCACCGACTGACTAACTCAATTTTGGAGAACACTCTGGTTTTGTTTACCGTCAAATGATTAGATTAATCCGATATCCTTGAAATTGTCCTTTTTTTAGACAAGGAATAGTTCTGAAAAAAGCTGTTTGTATCACAACTTTTCTACGCTCAATGGTTGCGAAATGCGAATCGAATGAAAATGGTCGCTTTTCAGCCGATTTTCAGCCCAGTTTGGTCTCGCTGAATTACATGAAATTGAGTCTGAAAGTTAAATCGAAAATGTCGTTTATCTCGGAAAGACAAAGCTATTTCAAGGAAAAAGCTGGCCGTCGATAAAACCAGGAACATGGAACATTCCGGAACATCCCGGAACATCGAATAATTATCATAATTTTGCGACAAAATATGTAAAATTAAATTTTTAAAGCTAAAATAAACAAAAATAAACTGGTATTAGCTTGAAATATGAAAAGATATTATTGGGGATAGGGGCGTCAGTAGCAGGGGTGTAGGGAGCGTTGGGTATTCATTCAACTGACCACAATGAGTGCAGGGTCCTTTTCTTTCTCGCCAGTTGCGTCACGTCGCTTTTCAGCACTCTGTTTTTCAACACAAACATGGACGATTCTGACGATGAATGTCAGGTAATTCATTGCGTCTCCTTTTTTTATCCCTGATTTCTTCAACATCTGAGGTGTTTGTCTGAGTATCATACAGTTGCTTGTTAAGTCAGTATTCATAGTTTTGTCCCTATTCCAACTTCATGTTGTTATTTATCATACCCAATTCTCGCCCCGCTCCGCTAGGAACGCCTGGCACTATGACCCACTAAGTGCAGACTCGGCCTTTCCGGGGGCCCGAGTAACAAGCAAGTTGTTATTAATAAACTAGTGGTAATCAAAGATTTATAGAGCAGCGCGTTCAC